AATTATGTAAAATTTTCCTTTCATCAATTGCTGTCAATGAATGGTGTAATATTAATGTATTTGGATGCGGGGAACAATCAACAATAATATCTTGCTCGGCCTAATACCAAATACGATTGATCACCATCATCCAAGAAAAACACCTCCCATAAAACATTTTTAAATAACAAGACCAACACTGCGTGTCATACACGTCTGCGGAGATCCAAGTGCAGACTTTACAACATCCTGGTGTTGATAAAGTATTTCCCCAAGCAAATCAGCTCTGCCTCTGAAGCAAGGAACTTATACACAATGAGGCAATGGATGTGCTTCATATACCAGGGGAGTTGCACCTACTACATCACCAAGCTGGGCAAGAAATACATTCTATAACATCTTAAGGTGTATGTAAAGTAAAAACATGTTTCGTTTTACAGGGCTTTTCACTAAAGGGTGAAGAGTTTGCAAAGGCAGAAGAAGTGAACAATCTAGGCCAACATAGCTGAACTGGAAAGTGAGCTGAATTGGAGAATTTTTCCAAATCAGCTATTTTGGCCTAGATTGTTCACTTCTACTGATTTCTCCAAACTCTTCATCCTTTTGTGAATAACCCTGTTAGACAGAATATGTTATCATTAAAGCAGGTTTTATTTTCCATCGGTGTGGCAGTGGGGAGATTTCTCTTTCTCCACAGGAAGTGAAATCCCCCGTTGGACAGTTGTCACTCCTGAACATGCGCTCATGACACCCGACCCATTGATGGCATCTTTGAGATGCTGTGAGTGAGCTGAGTGTGTACACTGCACGGTGCATACGCCGCACAGTGTACACAGAACATAAAAAATTGCTGGGGGGAGAGGAAGATTTGTTTTGCCAGAAGAAACTTTGTATGTCTTTTCTGACAAAAATCCGTACCCCGTACATCGATTTTTTTTGTTTTCTTTTTGCTTCCGGTTTAAGTAAATTCAAGGCATCTCATGTTTCAGGCACTGGTGGGGATAGAGGAGATGTTTAGGTGGCAGACAGAATATCAGGAAAATGAATGGGGGCGCGATAGTGGTAACACAAAGAGAGAAAGAGCAGGCTCAAAATATCTGTAGCCACAGTATTTAAGCCTATGCACCTATGAAGTATGAAAAGATTCAGGTAGGAGCCAATATGACTGCTTGAAACATTTGTTTACAGGAATTTGGCCTGCATACAACTATCTCTAAATAATTCCAAACTGTGTCCAAAGAGCTACATGAATTTCAGTCAAATAGGAAGTTCAGCACTTTGCCTTAGGCGGGCTCTTTGATAGCAATAATAAAAGGACTTGGTGGTTCTTTGGGTAAACCATGTGTGGTCAGGACATTAAAAAATGTCTTAGGACCCAACATCTGTATTAGATTTCCACATGATAAAAAGACCTGTATTCCCCGAAATTCACCCACAGTTATGCAGATCTAATGTTTATTTGGAACGGGAAGAGAGGGGTGAAAAAAAGATCATCCACTAAGACAACACAAACATTGGTGACAAAATAAGACATTCTGAAAACTGAAATAACAGGGGAGAGGTTCATTGATGTACACCGGAGCCAGAAAGAGCAATGAAAGCAAATATTCAGCACTGTGTTTGTGGCATTCTACTTAAATGATTTCCCTGGTGAGAAGTGGGTAAGCTCAAAGTGGCTTTATAGCTGACATGTACAAGGCAGATCTAATTCAGGTAAGACTTTGACCGTAAAGTTTATGTAAGAAAATTGAAGTTCTGGAAACCAAAAAGGTGCATCTAAGCAAGTTATCATAGTCGTTCTCACCCACTGCTGCGCTGTCTGAGTTGTAGTGAAGATTGAGCTAAGCTTAGAATGCGTGTGTATGGTGTAATAGTGTGCCAGTGTTTTCTAAAGTAAATGAACTGAACTCTCTATATCTGAATGCTTAAAGAAGAACTCTCATGAAAATTTTAAGTACAAGTCCATATATTCAAGCCTAAATAGATTCTTGTCTCTTCGGGGAAATGCGAATGGATTGAGAAGAAAATCTCTTCTTTAGTCCTATCATTCCTACCTGTCAGCTCATCCCCTGCAGGAAGCCCAATTTGTGGGCAGAATCCACCTGTCAGGAGCACCTGTTACCAACATTTTGTTTTTACAATGACCATATCCCTAAGCTGCCCACAGCCATGCTTCCTCCCCTTTGCTATGGTATGACTAACTGTAACACCCAGTTCCCTGTTCTACCCCGTTTGTCTCACTGAAGCACAGCTGGATTAGCCACCCAGTGAATCATTGTTCTTGGGACGCAGGCGACTGGGTCTCACAACATCATCAATTGTTATGGTGCTGGAGGCCACCTGCACCACAGAAAAGCATAATGCTGTGTGGACCCATGTGTGATCCATCTGAGCCACACTGAGGCAAACAGGGGGTGGCACAGAGGAACTTGGTGAAGGGGAACCCGGGAGTATGTGTCTGGGGGACAGGGGAGCTTACTTGGAAGCTATCTGACACTCCCCCACCCCCTGCATTTCTAGTAAAAGCATTTGCACAAGTACTACAAGAGGCCTATGCCGAATCCAAAAAAACTAAATTAGCTACTTATGCTGCTGGCATTAAAAATAAATCTAATGATATAATAGTGAATACAGATCTGCATTAATTTGAGTTTTTTATATCTGCCTGGTATTCATCTTTAACTCCACGGGGCCCTGAACCCAGGGAAAGAATGTCCTTAGTGAAACAGCTCCAGAGGGGACAGCAAAAGAGGATCTTCAGGGTAACAAAGTTATAATGAAGGACCTGTCTGCCTTAAGAACCCATCACCTACACTGCACAGCTTGCATAGCAGCTACCATCATGTTAGTTTGACCACCATTTTCCTCTACATAGAGGACCTTCTATGATAAAAGCAATTGCTGAAACACAAACCAGAAAACCGGAGTAAAAAGCATAAAAAACACTAAAAAGATGGAACAGAAAAAAATGCAAAGATTTTATAGTTGGAAAGAGGAAAATTTAAGCTTTAAATCATATTCTTGTATCTGTTTAATAGTACCACTTATAAGAAAACAGCCTATTTTTCTGTAAAGCGTGACTCATTGAATGAACTACTGCTTTTGTTAGTTTTTTCTGCAACCATCATTTTTATTGACTTCTGCATGGTAATTATACTTAGAATTTGCTTCCCCCTTTTCCTCCGAATACAAAAGCAAGCAAATGTAGCATTGATCCTACAGAACTGTCAAAACGAGATGCTATAATTGTTTAATGATATTGGAGTATATTGATCTGAAGACTTACAGTAAGAGGCAAGTAAGCCCATAAAATACATTTCCTATATAAAAAGCTATGCATAAAAGTCACATATAAATGCAGGCATTCCTAAAGACGCATTCTGTTAGAACTGACAGAAGGAAGTCTGTTGTGAAGTACAGCATCTCCCTTTGGTGTTGTACTGTTCTGATACATCCCTGCATATAATGTTTAATATAATAGTAAATGTCCAGAAAGTTAATTTATATAAAACAAGTCATTTGGGTTTACATGTCTAAAACCACAATTTAAAACCTCATAAAATACCACTAAAGAAAAATAAATTGATGCTAGGTCTGCTTAATAGAGGGTCCTGAATGCTAAACTATCTCTAACCTTAAAAGAGAACTAAAGCCAAACCTTTTGTTGGCATTAGTTCTCTTTTGGGTCAAAAGAGTACATATACTAATGTACTCCTGTGACCCAAACGCGGGCTACTGCCCGCTATATGCTGACAGTGCAGAGCAGCACTGCAGCCAGGAAGGATCCTGACAATATTGTCGGGATCCACCCTGCTGCCTGATTGACAGCTGGCTCTGCCTCTCTAGAGCCAGAGCCAGCTGTGCCCGCCCCCTCCCCTGTCTGTCCCTCCAATAAGTGCTGGGAGAACATAGAGGGGAGGGGGGGAATCCCTGAGGGGAGCGGTGACTGACAGTCGCCACTCTGCAAGGAGAAGACTGTGAGCTGAGCAAGCAGCAGTTCCTGATAGCTCAGCTCTCGATCTATAGAGCAGGTATGTGACACGCGCCGGCTCAAAATATTGGGAAGATTACATTTTACTCTTCCAATACGTCTTCTTTAACTGTAATCCAATCCCTATACCAAGTACTTAATGGAAGCCTTTCATGAGAAAAATATGAAAGATGTCTTTGCTGATTGCTGACCTCTCTTCAAAACGATAGTTGTCTGGTTGTCATTCTGATCCTTTGGCTTCAACATTCAAACTAGCAAACCAGAACAAGTATGCAGATTCGGAGTTCTGAATTTGGTCTGACTCTGTTGAGATGCATAGTCGTTCCAGGTAAGTGACTCAGTGGGGGGAATTTATCAATACTGGAGCAGACAGAATGTGGAGCAGTTGCCCATGGCAACCAATCAGCATCTCTCTTCAGTTTGCTCTGGTAAGATTTGAAAATGAGACAGAGAAACTGATTGGTTGCAGTGCAAATCTGTTCCAGAATTTGTCTGCTCCAGTTTTGATAAATTACCCCCAGTGAGTACTAAAGCCTGTAGGTCAGCATAATTGCTGGACATATTTTTTTTTATAGATCTGTTTCCTTACAACTGATCTGTTCAAAACAAGCAGAAGTAGAAGACACTACCAGTGAGTTCTGCTGGCAGCTGTTAACGTAGCAGGCACACTTTTAATACTGCAATTCGAATAACAGGAAATTTTACCTGGAGCAGCGCAGAAATTCTAGACTGGGTAAAATATTTGGTGAATTATTCATATCCAGATGGGGATTCTAGGTATTGACTTAAAAGTTAGATACACACTCTAAAGTCTATTACAATTCCTCCATAGGAACCTATGAGCTAACAACTGTACCATCCCACACTGTATAACTGTAATGTTTTGCGTCATCCAGTCCTGTATCTCCCAACCTAGAAGTGACGAGTCTTGTAATAAAGAAGAAAGCATGACATAAACTATTCTTGAACAGGGGAATTGACACACTGGGATCACACCCCTCTAAAGTTACATTTTGGCAAACCCACCTACCTCTCTCAGATGAATATTTTCCTTGTCCTTTTGGTCTAGAAGCACTTCTAAATGATTAAGCTGTGATTCTGCTTCCAACATTCTCCGCGTTTTCTCATGTTCCTCCTCCATGCCTTTAGAGGGCAACCCTTTACTTTGCAGCATCTCCAGAAGCTTTTTGATGGACTCATCACGGGCACTTAGTGTCTGTTTTTGTGTTTCTATTCTCAGCTCCATCTCCTCCAGTGTTTTTCTGAGTAAAAAAAGTTCCTTGGCTTGCCGGTCATGTTCTGCTTGAAGCCTTCGGAAGTTTTCCTCAGTGAGTTCAATGGTGAAATGTTCTGCGCCGCGGTTTCCGCCTTCTTGCTGAAGAAGGTGGTTGAGGTCCCTTTGAGTCCGCAGTTCATCTTGGAGGGCCTGGATGGTCAACTGCAAATGCTGGAACAGATGTGGAAAAGTGATATGAGCAAACAGGTAATATGTAGTCAATAAACAAACCTAAATTCATTGTTCACTAAAAAAATAGATTTAACATTTCTATATATATACAATCAGTAAGAAAATAACAACTTGGACCTTTTAAAAAGCTGGTAAAATGAAGACCAATTATGTACATAGTTAAAAATGTTTTTATAATTTTAACCAGGTTTTTGTATTTCAGAGTTTGTATCTACGTGTCTAAGGTTGGTAACATAATTCTAAGAGTGAAAGAAGATTTGATAGAAGAATGAGAACAGGTCACATGTTCAAAGGACAATAGTTTTTCTACCATTAAACACTGGGGGGTTATTCACTAAAGACCCAAAGGATCCAGCAGTAGCTTTGGCTGATCCTTTGGCTCTCTTCAGCCGCTGGAGCCCTTTGGTACAGGCTATTCACAATAGCTGAAGTGACAGCCGAAGTGACAGGCTATTCACAATAGTGACAGCCAAAGCATGGAGAAAAGTCGGCCGGAGCCGACCAATCTCCACGCAAGTGACAGCTAGGCGGAGCCAGCCGTGATGTCACGGCTGGCTCCGCCCAGTTCTAATGACAGATCAGCATCCACCAAATGACCTGGGGACGCTGATCTGTCATTAAAAATAACTGGGCGGAGCCGGCCGTGACATCACAGCTCCGCCCAGTTGTTATTCATTGGCTCGGAGGTACCGAGCAGAACATCAGAGCCGAATGCTGTTTGGCGGCATTCGGCTATTCACTCACTGCCGTTCAGCACCTATGAAAATAGGGGCCAACGGCAGCGAGTGAACTGCCGGAGCTTCGGCTCAGCCGATCCAGATGTTGGATCGGCTGAGTCGGACTCCTTCTGCACTTCGGCTCAGAGCATTTCGGTGAAATCAGCCGTACAAGACTGAAGTGAATAGCTAAACAGGTTCAGCTCACTTCACTTCAGCTCGGTTATTCACTCAACTGCCTTCGGCGGCTTTTTAAATAACCCCCACTGGTATCCTATGCACTACGATAGAGGAATATGGAAGCTAGCTTTACGGATGAGTTTTTGTGGTGCTGAGGCTGTATACTGTATATGGATGACAAGATGGTAACATCTTATCAGCATTGAGATAGACTTCAATAGACAATAAAATTAGATTAAGGAAGGACTGCTGTGTCAAAGGACAATAGTTATTATATCCATAAATGCTGGTTTCCTGCTGTTCTCAGGAGACGTTTATTGCAAAAACGGTAAGTAAAGCCCACTGAGTATTTATTGGAAACATGTCAAATATTTGCAGCATCTATAGTAAAAACACATATAGTGTACAATAAAACAGTCAAGTAACAACATGTACAAAATATTTTTTTAACAACCAGACTAGTGACTCAGATCTTGAAACATTTCTAAGTTTAAATGAACTAAAATGTTTACAGTTCACGTACATTTTTGTGACATTTAATTATTTAGACTTTTATGTGTTTTTAAAAATATTTCAATACACAATCAGAAGTCCATAGTACTGCAGTTTAAATGTAATACAGTATGTTATATGGTTGAAAGAGCAATTTATTTGAGACACTCAGACTTCTATGCCTATTCCTCAGTGATGTTACTCAACAATAGTCAATTAACAGCTGTAAGCATGTTTTCAGTTAATGGGTTAAGGTCTTAACCTGACCATACATATGACAACCTGATTTTAACATTTCTAACATCTTCTTTTGTTTTACCAAACCGATGTAATGTGAGGACCTATCGAAGCAATGCATGCCATTTGGATCCAATCAGGCAAGCCATTTGACAATATTGATGTTGGTAGATCTAAAGGGATTGTAAAATCATATAGAAACAGGTATGGTCAACTTTAAAGGTCAACTTTCTGCTCTGTTAACCACACGGAAAGGGAAAATCTCTACAATGGGGTTCAAAGAACAACAATGAAAATATTATGGAGGTTACAAAAACCCCAACTCGATCCACAATTAAAAAAAATATTTTGGCTGTAATTGGGCTCTGAAGCAAACCTGAAATAGAGAACAAACTGTTGACAGCATAAAGTAGGAACTTCATGTCAGGTCCATTTTCCAAAACTGTACCTCTGGGTACTCTGGTATATAAATATCCATCCATTTGTCTGGATCGAGAGTGTGGTCACAACTTTTTTCATCTCCTATGTGTCCTTATTGGCCAGTGAAGCCCATTACAGTAGCAGACCGATAGTTCGGTTTTTGAAAGCTGGACTGATATTTGTACACTAGTGTCTATGGTAGAATAAACTTTATTTCTTACATTAAGTTTGCTTTAAATGATCACAAATGTTGGGTGTGTGTTCTACAATTTGTGCCCTTGAGTCTTTATTCTAGTCAAAATTAAAAAGTAGAGATTTTATTCCTGACCTTGTCAATTTCTTTCATCTTTCACTTGATAGAAAGAGAACAGATTCTAGAAGATACTAGATGGGGCCAGTTAAGCTGGGCACACACCTTACAACCATCGCAAGACAAAAGTCTTGCGATGGTTGTAAGGTAATTACAGAAACGTACGATCTGCCTATCTTGGACAGGCAGATCGTACTTGCGATGATCGCAAGCTCGCCCCGCTGAGGGGCGGGTTTCCGATTACCACAATGCCGAACGGGCAGTGTGCGCTTGCGCACAACGGCCCGTCCGGCTTTTATCTTACGAACATGCTACACACATGTTCGTAAGTGAAAAGTCGTGCGACCTTACAGTAGTAGAGGTCGCACGGCTTCCACACACCTTACGATAATCGTACAATCGCGGGATTTCCCGCAATTATCGTACGATTGTAGCAAGCTGTGTGGGCACCTTTACACTAAGGATATGTCTTTTTTTAGAAAACTATGGTAAATGCATTTATAACAGTTAGTCACTCTTTTTTAGTCTGGGATTAAATGGGGAAGTGCTGGAAATATTAACCCTTTTTTCTATGTATCCTAGTGACCATTGCCTCCAAGATGGACAATAATGGGAACTTTTACGGCTACAACCAGAACCAGAGGTGAGGGGAAATCTTCCAATAGGCATGTGTGTTCCCATGACTAAAGGTGGCCATACACTAGTAGATTTTCGGTCAGAAATTTTGGTTATGATCTTGGGAACATGTTATGAATTATCCTCATCCCCCAGCTTCAAATGAATGGAAATTATTTTTTATGATTAGGATTCTAAAGACATCTAATGTTGGCCAGACACAGCTTGGATTTCATCTGACTGACCAAAATTTGAGTAGTGGGTGGCCCTGTCGGCACCACCTAGCTCGACAAACTGAATACAATAGCCAGCAGGTTGAAATTTCTCCATCTACGCTATTAAGCTTGGATGGGGGAACCAGGTGATTTATCATGTTCAGCCTGTGTGGCTGATTGAGAGAAATCTAGCCGTGTGTGGCTAGCTTAAGTTTGCTGATCAGTGGGTGGTTGAAGTTATGCGTATGAGGCGATTATTGTAATACATGTGAACTGCTGATACATGCATTTTTATAATTGATATATTATTCCTATAAAAAAAAAAAAAATAAAACAAAAGAGACACCAGCATTGGTACTGGATCACAGAGAAGGGGAAATGAGAGCACATTAACTGGCATGGAAGATGTGGTGATGAGTTACACCACCTTATCTCTGAGTTGTCAGTAATATGGTATGATCAACCTGCTTACTGCCAACCAGAAGCCTGCTGCAGTGCAGTCTGTGTTATCTTGACTTTCCCAGAAATTAATAAAAATTATAAACAGCACTTAGGTGAGCCTATAAGTGCTGCTCTAGCAATACTAACAATGTAATTATTTACTTTTAGTGAAATTGTTTTCTATGTACCCCCATGGTGGTTTTCCTGTGAGTAAATACTGGCCAACAGCTCTGCTCCTAAAAAAACAAAACAAAATCACTATGTGGCCCTCCCTGGTCCCATGCAGCCTTTAAAACAATCCTGACTAGACCCTGCACCTGTTGCACAATGATTCTGTGGTCCGGTTTATTGTATAGATTAACCTTTAATCCATGTTGACTATGAGTACAGACCCATTTATAAGAGTCAATGGAGACTAAGGTGCCATTTGCATGGTTGTCAAGGACAAACATTTCTGTCTATGGATTACACTGTAACCCCTCCCATGGAGGCCACTGACAAGAGTAGAAAGACACCCAGCACTACCACTGATTGCCTTTCTAACAGCCACAGAAAAGGGCAGTGCTGGGAGACAGCTTGAAACAAAAATGATTAATACTAACAAGCCCACTTCTGGTGACTCCAGTCTTGCCTCTCTTGAAAAGCTACACCCGACATTGAAATCATAATTTGACACATTCAGGTGTGTTGGATGCCTGCATCTCCCTACTTTGCTCCATGGTTTGTCGACTGCAACTTCACTAGTAAGTCCCTTCAGAGCTGCAGGTTTCCAAGGTGCAGGAACACACTCGCTATAAAGTGGCTGGTGGGAGGAACCACACTGCACAGCAAGAAGTCAAGTGGTGAAGATTCTAGCTGGCATAGCTAAGCCATTGGTAGCAGAGCTTGGAAAATTAATGTTCTGGCTTTTTTGTTGTTTGTTGTTTGTTGTAAATGGGGTTCTACTGAAGTAATAAGATGGCGGTGGATAATAAAAAAGGCCAACCAGAAAAATATTTCAGGTATGACCAGATGCCGATGAGCTGAAACATCTTCTTATACCTTCTGGAGGTTAGCAGTGAGATGCCGCCGACAGAGCCAGCTCTTTCCTTTACTGCCAATCTAGGCCAAAATAGCTTATTTTGAAAGAATTCTCCAATTTCTCACTTTCTGGTGCAAATTCTCAAATTTGCTCACTTTGCAGATCTCCTGCCTTTTCCAAACACTTCACCCTTTTGTGAATAGCCCTGACAGTGTTTTAACAAATCAAATGTCATCCGGTTAAGGTTTAGATTAACTGTAATTCTATTTTTTGTAGTTATTCTAGTGCAACTACTAGGTACTATGCAAAAGCTAAAAGCTAAAAAGCACATA